CCCGGTAACACTGTACACAAAGCAGCGCTGCTCTCACAAATGCTGCTTTATCAGGCATCACAGGCAAGATGAAATGAAAATGAGACCAATCGACCAATCACCGCAGATTAGCGTCAGGCAAAGGAGAGGTTTGGAAAAATGAATCGTTGAGTGAATCGTTTGGGAGTCGTTGAGCAAATAAGGTAAAAATAATTGCATATTATAAGACAATGAAAGTGTTTTTTGACCTTGCATGCATGTCAACCTGTTGTTGGGGACTCCTAAAACCAAAATATGAACCTTTCATTACCCATAATAGGGGCACTTTAAAATCTTATAGTTACATAATACAACTTCGCCCATGTGACAACTAGCCCCGGTCTCTCTATAGAGACATGTGGCATATGGTTCAGGGCAACTCACAGTAACACCCTCTGCCTCACAGTACAACTGCAGGGGACTCATGCCCTCAGCAAAGTGGATGTTCTGGAAGTTAATGGCTGGAGATCTTCTCTCTCTTTCCTGGGGAAAAAAAAGAGCATCATTATTATTCTTCTGTTCCTGTAGATTAAATCCGTGTCTGACACACTTGCATACACATGACACATTTTGGAGTAGAAAGATCTTCAAGTCAGACTCACTTCAAGTTCAAGAATTCTGAACTCCAGGAGTTCGTTTTGGTCTTTTGCATCCTGAATTTCATTTTTCAGTCGTGTCTCCTCTGTCTCCATATTTTTAATCTGGGAACAAAAAACACAAAGTGTGGGGTAAAAAAAAGGCATCTGACAGGAAAACTGTCTGTGAAACAAATGAGCTGCATTCACTGCCTGAAATCGGCTTCATGAAATTAATTAAAACCACAGCTGAACTACTGAAAGAGGGTCATTCCTATAATTCGGTGCCTATGTAACTTGAATAAAGAAGCCTTTTTTGTCTTTACACACAATTTTCCCAAAGTCATACAGGTCAAACTTTAAAAACTTAAACTGAGTTATTAATAGAAACATTAAACAAAAGAAAACGTGCTCTGATTGTGATATTCGTCTTCTATCAGTCTGATGAACATGAACGTCACCCACCTTTTCTACAAGCTCTTGGTTGCGTTTATACAAAGCTTGTTTCTCCTCAATCCACTTCATATCCTGAAAAATGCATATAATATGAATGCAAATGATTTTAAAAATTCAATGCTAGCAGATCTTATCATATAAAATCCTCTCCAACACTCTCCCAGACTCATTCTCCTTCAGTGCATCTCTGATCCCAGAGCAATTTCAGCTGCGCACGTACCCCTCACAGCCCAGACTGATGTATGACCAGCACTGCTCACATTCCCTTCACTCACCGAATATATGGGATTACTTTTAGGGTTGTCATCATATGTGTGTGTGTTGCCACAAAATAAACCTAGATTTAGACTACAAGTGGCCCTCGGGTGGAAAAAAATATTCAAAGACTGCTGGAAAGTCACCGTAAGACATATTCATCATCTCTGATAAAATTATATTTCTTTCAATGGGGTCCAAAAGTTATACAGCAAAAGTTTTGGTTCGCTTTGTATTACATTCTGGAACCTTTACAGTGAATGGGTGCCGTCAGAATAAGAGCTGATAAACACATCACAATAATCCACACCACTCCAGTCCATCAGTTAACATCTGGTGAAGTGAAATGTTGCGTGTTTGTAAGAAACAAATCACTTGTGGATTATTGTTTTGTTTTTATCAGCTGTTTGGACTCTCATTATGACGGCACCCATTCAATACAGAGGATCCACTGGTGAGCAAGTAGCATACTGCTACATTTCCCCAAATCTGTTCTAATGAAGAAACAAACTCTCCTACATGTTGGATGGCCTGAGGGGAAAGTACGTATTCAGCAATTTTCATTTTTCATCATTCAATGTGCTAAATGTTATTTTGCAGTTCTAACGGTAACAGTGCTGGTGTTTTACCTGTCCCTGATGACTTAGAACACACTCCAGATCTGCTATTCTGGTCTGGTACCGGATCAGTTCGGCCTGAAGCTGCTCTCGAGTCTAAAACAGACAAACAATTATAATTTCTGCACATCTGTAAATAAAAAAAAAAGAAAAGAAATGCCATTTGTAAACTATTTTACTTTTGTGTATTTGAGTAAAATATTATATTCAATTAGGAAACAAATGTAGGGCGGGACTTAATTTTCATTTTCAGGAATTAATTGGATTGTGAAAAGTGGGCGTTGCCAGAATGTTGATTGAAGGTGATTGGAGGAAAGGAGTTGAAAACTAAGATGGAATTTATTTCATTTAAATGAAACGATTACAATGATCAAATATTTTGTTCTTTAGAATAATGTGGTCTGTTTTGATTTCATGGTGATGTTGATGTTTATTTTATTTTTTATTTAAAGGGGTCATATGATGCTATTTTAAAGATCATTATTTTGTGTATTTGGTGTAACAGAATATGTTGACATGCTTTAATGTTCAAAAAACACATTATTTTTCAAATACTGTACATTATTGTAGGTCCTCTACGCCCCGCCTCTTTTTGGGGTGGGGTGGGGGGTTTGGGGGGGGAGCAAATGTTTTGTGAATCTGGATTTTGTACCAAAGAGATATTACTACAGAAATGGAGACCGAGTGACTGGCAAAATGTCCTGTCACTCGTTGTGGTCAAAAACGCTCTATTGCATTTCCTGGTTATGACACGGTGTAATATTGCAAAAAGAATCATATTCATATAATGAACTATAAAGCCATCTGCTAATAGTTGAGATGTTGTTGTTAAAGAGAGTGACTATAAATATTTAATGGCTGGGATGTTTAAATGATTTACCTTGACCTCTTTCTCTGCATCAAACGTTCCTCCCACCTGCTCCTGCAGGAGCGCGTAAGCTCGCTGAAGAGCCTGATACTCCATCGTCAGCTGACGGAAGCGCAGCTCTGTCTCCTCCTTAAGCATTCCCTGAGCACAGAGAGACGACAGGTTTACGGTCATAGTTTACAGAGACACACAAACACAGCCAAACACACACACACCTCTTCGAGGTCATCGTCTGGCGTGCAGGGCGTTCGGTCTGTGTGGTAGGAAATAGAGGAGCCGTCCGAGTCTATAGAGCCTTCCTCATCATAGCCAAAAAACGTCTCCACCACCGGCTATGGAGAGAATGAGAGAGAGATTTTGTTTTAAATACCTTTTTGACCAAAAGAAATGTAAATATACAGAAGGTAAGGAAAAAGAAATATACAATAATAATAACAATCAAATAAAAAAAATAATAATTAAAAAAATTTGCTCAAATTAAACATAGCAACAAATATTTAGAGAAAATAGGCTTATATTCTTCATAAAAAATAGAATCTAAATATATTTCTTGATCGTTTCTGTGAGAACCAGAGGGTTAATGTTCATTGTTGCGTAAATTAATATATATTTTAAAAAATACATAAATAAAACATCACAAGGATTAATCAGTGGTGCTTAATCATAAAATGATAACATTATATAATAATTATAATGGTAAATTTTAGTACTAATATAAAAATAAATGCATATTCAATGCATAATTAAATTATATCAATCAGTCAATAAAATATAAACAAACCAAACCTAAAATAATAATATTTTAAAATAAATATTTCATTCATAAAATATGATAATAAAATAAATGCATTATTAAACGTATATGATTATCAAAACTAAACAAAATATAAGCAAATTAAAAAATGAAATAATGCAACATTTCAAGCAAATATTCTATGCACACTATGATTATAAAAAGGAATGTATAATTAACCTTAAAATGCATAATCACGAATAATGCAATGTATGAGTAAATAGTATATAAGAATAAGACATTACAGAATTATGCAGTAATGTAAAATAATAATGTTTTTATTTTATTCTTTTGATGATTTAAAATGTCAATTTTTTATTAATGGGAAAACTACTTTATAAAAGTAGTTTTTTTTTTTCTTTGCCAGAATGTTTGATTTTTTTTCACCTTCATGCTTGTATCTTACGTGCAAAAAAAAAATGCGTTTGACAATGAATTGTGTATGCATAGTTCAGTCCTGATGTCTGCGTACCCTACAGGTTCTGAAGGGCTTCTTCCTGCGTAGGCTGTCCTGTCTCCTGTATCTCAGCAGCATGTCTCTCTCCTGAGAAACAAGATTAAATTAAAGAACAAAACACCTGAACTTGCATCAGATTCTCTATCATACATGAACATCTCATTTCTATAAAGCACAAGGTGCTAGTTCCACTACACTTCCAGTTTTACAGAAAGAAAGGAATGCATGCAGCTGTATTTACATTATGTCTGAACCTCACATACAGTACATTACTCACTCATTTCAGTTGCTAATTTCATTCACCCTTTGAGAAAACAGATATTTCTGCAGACATTTTCATCTGGGTTTTGTTAGGTAACATGTATATGCAAAAACATATTTTAGCATTTCACAGTGAATATTTCCCACAGGCAAAATGACTCACTATCACACTCTTCACGTATCCAGCGGTTTCCAGCGCCTGGAAATTAAAGCAGACTGATCAGAGAACAGCAAGACACAGTTTGCATGTATAATTACTTTTATAAAACTGACCCCATATAATTTAATTCCTAATCTAACTGTGGCTTTGAAAATACTTTTTTTGTGCATCCATGTGAGAAGAAATGCTGATACCTTGGACAGTTCGTCGATTATGTTCTGTTGTTCCAGCACTTGTAGTCTGAGAAACTCAATTTCTCTTTCTTCTTGACTCTGATCCAGATCGTTCAGAGAACTGGGCCGGCGAATCGTCCCAGCCTTTTCTCGCTGCAAAATAAAACATCCAGTGACCGGATGTGTGCACAGAGACTGCTGACATATAATTACTCATGTCTGATGAGTTGTCATAATGATCAGATCATTTAGACATGAGCAGTAACAAGGCTCGATGCTGAACGACTCAACCGACAAATTGTTTACATGCAAACAAGGCCATGTTACATAAAGATGCTTCAGTATTCAAAGCTAATGTTTTATGCAAATAGCGTGAACTTCATCTGAAAAGACTACTTCAGTATCAAACATATATAAACAGGTTTATGCAGTAGAATAGGCAGATGGATGCTTCTTTTGTCTAGGGAATCAATCAAAATAACAGCAATGTGCCTGAGCTGGAAATGGCCAATTATGTCTAATGACAGTGGAGCAGTTGTTGGATATAAATTGATCAAAACAGAACCGGCTCTACCAGCCCCCTCATCATGCATTCACTGCAATAAGTACATTTCCAAGAGTAATAATAAGAAATGCATAGAAATGTATAATCACTATATTAGAATGATTTCTGGAGGATCATGTGACACTGAAGACTGGAATAATGATGCTGAAAATTCAGCTTTGAATCACAGGAACAAATTACATTTTAAAATATTTAAAACAGTTATTTTCAATTTTAATAATATTTCACAATATGTCTGTTTTTATTCTCTAATTGTGACCATGGAGCACAGAACCAGTCATAAGTAGCACAGGTATATTTGTAGCAATAGCCAACAATACACATTGTATGGGTCAAAATTATCTATTTTTCTTTTATGCCAAAAATCATTAGGATGTTAAGTAAAGATCATGTTCCATGAAGATATTTTGTAAAATTCCTACTGTAAATATATTAAAACTTAATTACTGATTAGTAATTGCATTGCTAAGAACTTCATTTGGACAGCTTTAAAGGCGATTTTCTCAATATTTTGATTTTTTTGCACCCTCAGATTCCAGATTTTCAAATAGTTGCATCTCGGCCAAATATTATCTTATCCTAACAAACCATACATCAATGTACAACTCTCAATTTTGAAAAGTTGACACTTATGACTGGTTTTGTGGTTCAGGGTCACATTTTTGATCAAATAAATGCAGCCTTGGTGAGTATAAAACACATCTGTTTTAAAAATAAATAAATAACCTTACCAACCCCAAGCTTTTGGTAGTTTGTAAATTAACTGTTTTAATCAACATCAGTATTTTAAGAACCTTAACTGGTCAACATTTGATTTTCAACAATATAATATTTAATTTTTAAATATAATTTTGCCTCTATTATAGTTCATTTTAAAAGTTCATGTGATGTAACTGTAAATTCTTAAAACTAAAATTATGCTATATAGTCTCTCAATTAAAAAGGGCTCATACTATGCAAATACAGATATGATCAGTGAGTTCAAGTTGTTTCACTTCATTACCATTTCGATGTTCTCCTGAGTGACAAAGTGCAGTTTGTTCTCCATGTGTCTCAATGCATGAGCCAGCTCCTCATTCTTGCGGCTGAGACGTCTGTTCTTGTCTAGTAATGGCTTATACTGGCTCTCAGCTTCACGGAGACGCTTTAACTGGGCACAAACACACACAGAAACAGAGGGTAACCAAAAAAAGTTGAGGTGGCAAAAGCATGCAGTAACCCTAAATAATATTTAAATACTTAAAAATGCATGAATATCATTCCGTTAGGAAGGACAGCTATATTGATGTCAGAAAATACTTTTACAAATAAAACCTGCAAAGTTACTTATTTTGAACACAACGCAATCTTTCAAAATGTGATCAGAGATATTGCAAAACTAAATGACCTGGACTGTACATTTGAAGAACCAAGACTGTCTAACTAGTTGGAAAATTTGTTTAAGACATGAAATCTAAACTGATAGAGAAAGCGACTTGGCTATTTCAGTCTACTTGAACATCAAGTCATTGTTGAGGACTGTATTGAGCGGTAAACTGAGTCCTAACCCTTGCTGAAGGTTTCACCTGCCATGTTTAAATCACTCTGTCTCGGTATTGATCTTTAAGACTGTCTGAGCCGAGAGGAGGAAACACTAAAGTCATTCATCACTGCTCACATACTCACCACCATTACAGAGAACATTCACACTGTCACATAACACTAAGAAAGGCAAAAACACTCTTTAATACGCTATGATATTACAGTAAACATAATACAGAAGACACACACTACATATATGTGCTCATTTGTGCACAAAGCAATCACAGTTTGGAAAAGAAAAATAACAATTACTTATAGGCAATTTTTAAGAAGGCTGAATTAGATTTTGGACAAAAGTAAACAAACAAACAGACAGACAGACTGATAGATAGATCTATAACAAGTAAATAAATAAGTAAATATATAAAGATTTTTACCATAACAATAAACTAAAACAGAACAAATATGACATAAAATAAAATAAATCTTTTTACCATAAAGTAAAATATTAAATATAATTTTCCATAACAATAAAATATAAATAAATATTTTACCATAAAATGTATATATATATATATATTAGGGCTGGGTTTTGACACAAATTTCACGATTCGATTCTCATTCACAAGCTTGCGATTCGATTCGATTACCAATTCGATTAGATTCAATATCGATTATTTTGGATATATATCAGGTACAGTACATAGCAAATTTTCTCAAGGAATAAAAATCTCTCAACTAATGCTGTAAAATATACATGAGTCAGTTGGTACAACATTACTATAATATTGAAGAGGCCAGACTAATCGATTCTTGGGATTTTTTATATATATACACTGAACAAAATTATAAACGCAACACTTTTGATAATCGTGCTGTCTAATCAGCATCTTGATATGCCACACCTGTGAGGTGGATGGATTATCTCGGCAAAGGAGAAGTGCTCACTAACACAGATTTAGACAGATTTGTGAACAATATTTGAGAGAAATAGGCCTTTTGTGTACATAGAAAAAGTCTTAGATCTTTGAGTTCAGTTCATGAAAAATGGGGGCAAAAACAAAAGTGTTGCATTTATAATTTTGTTCAGTGTATATAAAAATAAAATAAAATAAAAAAAATTTCAAACTAGCACAGACTCACCAGTTCATTGCGTTCCTCTGACAGCAGTGCATTGCGGACTTCTAGTTTGCGGATAATAGCACTCAGTTCTGCGATTTTCAGTTGGAAACGTCGAGCGTCCTTCTCATCCAACTGCTGCATCTGGAAAACAAACCAACTGCAGGTTACTGGAAAAAAACACTCATCACTCGTATATTTTTTTAATGTTAATCTATCTATCTATCTATCTATCTATCTATCTATCAACCTGCAAGACTTCTTTAAACATCATCGACAAACATCAAAGTCTTGATATATATACACTTTTTATTTATTTTATTTCAATTCCATTTGGTGTTGCTGTATTTAGGAAATATTCCATTATGTCAGGTAACCGTAGAAACAGTCAGAGGAGGGAATAGAGTCAGAGCACTCTGGCGTGGCCACATCTGACAAAGAGCTGAAGGTCACTGATCAAATCCATCCTTTCTCCTGCAGAGAAAATGAAAGCAGCAGCTCCACCACAGCAGAAGCAGACCTCAAACCCACAGCAACACAAATACAGCCAGAGACACGGATGTTCTGCTGCAGGGTGTGAATACAAAGTGTGTGCATCCAAGCGTTTCCTAACAGCCCTGAGAAGGTGATATGTGGAACTGGGAAAGATCACACTCACACTCTCACCTTCAGCAGTTTGCTCTGTGCTGCATGATGACAGAGTGAAATGCCCATCTCACAGCTAAATCTATTTTTATAACTGTATATTTATATCATTATATATTTGACTAAACAATGGGCAACCCCAGGAGAGTTTAAACTTGTTGGAAATGAGTCATCATTTTTTAAACATTAAAAAACATGCCACAGAAATGATGAACAGCTGCTTTAAGACTAAACAATGATTTTCTTAGTACAATTAATATGTTGATACACCACACCGGTGAAACAAGTCTGTTATACAGCACTCAAATTATATTATTATTTTTTTTAAATAATTATTTTATTTGTCAAGGATGCATTCAATTAATCAAAAGTGACAGTAAAGACATTTATAAGGTTACAAAATATTGCTTTTTCAAATAAATGTTGTTCTTTTGAACGTGCTATTCATCAAAGAATACAAAAAAAAAAGAATATTCAGCTTCAAAAAAATGTCAGCATTGATAATAAATGTATCTTGAGCAGCAAATCAACACATTAGGATGCTTTCTGAAGAATCATGTGACACTGAAGACTGGAGTAATGATGCTGAAAATTCAGCTTTGATCACAGGAATAAATTACATTTTAAAGTATATTCAACTAGAAACAGTTATTTTAAATTGTAATAATATTTTAAATAATTGTAAATACTATTAAATTGCAATAAATGATAAACAGCTGCCTTAAAACTAACACGGCTTCTCTCAGTAAGTTAATATCATGATACACCACACCGGTGAATCAAGTCTGTTACACAGCGATCAAGCCATATGAAGAATAAAGAAAAAATTTAAAACTAGACTAATAAACAAGACAAATATATATATATATATTCCTACGCAACAAGAAGCACGGTGCAATCCCAAGAAACACAATTCCTTAAATGCAATTTAAGTTGCTTTGGATGAAATCCTCTGTAAAATGCATAAATGTAAATCCACTGTAAAGACGACGAATATTACAAGTTTCTTTGTTAGACTCCAGAGAAAGATTTAAAATAGAATATATGGCAAACTAAATAGGCCCTTATTCAAGTCGCAGCAGGAGACTCAAACCTAACAAGCACAAAGCCAAAACTGCCAGGCATTTGGCATTTAGAAATACAGTAGCTCATGCTATTAATGGTTTATTTAGGTGCAGAATATTAAATGCAATTAAGACTTAACGATGATGGCCAGAGTAATGTTTGGTTTGGTTGTTTTTGATGATCATTCTGATACAAACATTACTAACAGAAGTTAATTGAATAGAAACACTAAGCATTAAAAAGTTACTGCTGTTAATGAAAATCTGTCACTAATGTCTATAGACGAGTTTGCGCAGGCAATAAGAGGTGTAATAATGTGTGATGTAGGAAAGAACGGGACATTAGAGGCGTGCTGTCAAGCGTGAGGATCCCGAGACAGATCAGTGTTTACTCCAGCAGATGAAACAAGCAGCTGGACCAGCAATATTTTCCTCAAACCCAGATCTATTACATTCCTTGAACCTTTGCACAAAACTGTATTCACAATTCCAACCTGTCAATTAATCAAACACCTTTTTAGGGGCCATACTGCACACTTTTATAATGTTTTCTTTCTCTTGAAATCAAGCAAGGACAGTCTGCTGTGCATAAAGTTAATACCACATGCACATTAATGACATTTTTGATGTTCTTACTGTGGATTGGAATAAAAATCTTTTTAAAGGTTCTTCAAGGACTGAATAACAGCATAGCTGATAAATATTAAACAGTAGAGTACAACAGTCATTGACCACTTTTCCTATCGCCTTTGTAAGTGTTTTCCCCATTTATTTTCTCCATAGGCATTAAAAAAAATTTCAATAAAAAATAGAAGCCATTAACCCAAAACTAACCAGCTCCAAAATGAATAACAAAAACAATATGTTTTTGAAAGAGTCTCTAATGCTCACCAAGGCTGATAAAAATACAGTAAAAACAGTAATATCGTGAAATATTATTACAATTTGAAATAAGTAATTTCTATTTGAATATATTTTAAAACGTGATTTATTCCTGTGATGGTAAAGCTGAAATTTCAGCATCATTACTCCAGTCTTCAGTGTCACATGATTCTTAAAAATCATTTTTTGGTTCTTTATTTAATAGATACTTTTACAAGAACAGCATTTATTTCAAATAGAAACCTTTTGTAACATTAGAAATGTCTTTACTGTCACTTTAAATCAATTGAATGTGTTGTTGAGGAATGAAAGTATTAATTTCTTTCAAATAAAATAAAATAAAATAAAATAAAATAAAATAAAATAAAATAAAATAAAATAAAATAAAATAAAATAAAATAAAATAAAATAAAATAAAATAAAATAAAATAAAATAAAATAAAATAAAATAAAATAAAATAAAATAAAATAAAATAAAATAAAATAAAATAAAATAAAATAAAATAAAATAAAATAAACATTCAAAAACCCCACATTTTGACTGGTAGTCTACAAAGCATTCAAAAAAACAAATGTACAAAACTGTATATTTAACAACTTTTATGACTGAATGAACTACTCATTTCACAATCTCTTGACACAAACAAAAAAAGCATAACAAATATAAAACCATTTGACTGTAATTCATTGAAAAGATCTTGTATTTGAAGTTTAATGCATAATATCCAAACATAGATAGATATGTTTTTTTCTAGTACACTTTTATACTAGGAAATTGGCATGACTTTTTAAAAACCAACATGAATTGGCTTTTAAACACAGAAAAAAAGGGGTTTAAAATTGTACCTTTTGGGGTACAACAGCTTGTCCCTGGAGCAGTACCCTTAAAAGGACATATTTGTACCTTTTTTACCCCTAATAGGTACATATTAGTACCTTAGAGTAGTAATACGTACCTTTAAGGTACTAATATGTACCTATTAGGGGTAAAAAAGGTACAAATATGTCCTTTTAAGGGTACTGCTCCAGGGACAAGCTGTTGTACCCCAAAAGGTACAATTCTGGCCCCTTATTTTTCTGTGTGAAGAATCATATACCATCACCTAATAACTTTGGAGCTCACGCTAGAGCTGTCTTGAAGACTTTACATGTTATTGCTCAAAAGCAGTTTGTGAAGAATATGAATGAGACTTTCTGAAAACAGACTGTTGTGCTTTATATTGCTATAAATCTGGGTTGAGGAAAACGGATCCGAGCAGGTGAGCAGAGTGAAAGCAGAAGTACAGCAAGCAGTGAGGTTTAGTAATGAAGGAGAGGTGCTTACAGGGTTAGCGGTGTTCTCTGCTGCGTCCCCTGCAGCGGGTGAATAAGGGCCCTCTCGTCTGGGGCTGGAGTCTCGCAGCAGGGCCAGCTGAGTGTCTACAGCCTGTTTCTGCTGCTGTAGTTTCCACGTGTGGCCCGCCTGAGCGCTGAGCTCTCTCTCCAGCCCACAGACAGCGCGCTCCTTTAGTTTAATCTCATCCATCTACAGGACAGAACACAGCACAGTCACACACATTCTGCCTTAAACGGGACACAGTCGAAGTAAGAATACATAAAACATGACCGGCAGTCCGCAGGAGGAAACACAGTTACCACTTTCACTCTGGACAGGAAATCACACGAAAGTCCAGGGATATTTTAGAATCATTGACATATAATTATAGACTTGATTTTGTTTTATTAGTTTTTATTTTCCATTTTAGTTAGTTTTAGCATTTTTTTTTGTGTGTATATATATAATTTTTTTTTTTTCTTTTCTTTTCTTTTTTTTTTTTTTTTTTAAATATGTATATATATATTTTTTGGTCTTTATAGTTATTAATTTTTAGTTTTTAGTCAGTCTTAGTTTTTTTGGTACATCAGGTTGAACTAAATGAAAATCAGAAACGTTCCTTTGGCAACTATCTGAATCAAAATAATTAAAAAATATATATATTTTATTTTAGTTAATGTTTCTTATTTTAAGTAAAACATTTTTTATAGTTTATTAATTAATTAATTCATCCCCCCAAAAACATAACATTTAGTTTTTATTCATTTTTATTTCAGTTTAAGCTATTTGAGTACATCAAATCAAACTAAATGAAAATGAGAAATGTTGCCTTGGTGACTAGCTGACATAATAATAATAATGGTAATGATGATAATAATAATGATGATAATAATAATAATATTTATTCCAGCATATTCCAATAATATATTCCAATATTCCAGCATTTCTTTATTTTTTTTAATTCTTTTTTTATGGCTTTAGTTTTAATTATTGGTCTATTTATTTATTTGCATTTTATTTCCCAAAATCCATAAAATGTCTATACAGTTTGTATGAATTTTTATTTCATTTTTATTTTAAGTTATTTTAGAACATCACGTTAAATTACATGAAAATTACCTTAAAATATATTAAAATTATGGTTGTAGTTTAATGGTTTAGCCTACAGAAAGCTGATTTTCCAGAAGGCTAAATTAACGCACTTATGCACTGCTTTATTTATTTAGCTAGTTTTACTATTTATATATATATTTTTTTTTAAATGAAAATCAGAAACGTTCCTTTGGCAACTATCTGAATCAAAATAATTAAAAAATATATATATTTTATTTTAGTTAATGTTTCTTATTTTAAGTAAAACATTTTTTATAGTTTATTAATTAATTAATTCATCCCCCCAAAAACATAACATTTAGTTTTTATTCATTTTTATTTCAGTTTAAGCTATTTGAGTACATCAAATCAAACTAAATGAAAATGAGAAATGTTGCCTTGGTGACTAGCTGACATAATAATAATAATGGTAATGATGATAATAATAATGATGATAATAATAATAATATTTATTCCAGCATATTCCAATAATATATTCCAATATTCCAGCATTTCTTTATTTTTTTTAATTCTTTTTTTATGGCTTTAGTTTTAATTATTGGTCTATTTATTTATTTGCATTTTATTTCCCAAAATCCATAAAATGTCTATACAGTTTGTATGAATTTTTATTTCATTTTTATTTTAAGTTATTTTAGAACATCACGTTAAATTACATGAAAATTACCTTAAAATATATTAAAATTATGGTTGTAGTTTAATGGTTTAGCCTACAGAAAGCTGATTTTCCAGAAGGCTAAATTAACGCACTTATGCACTGCTTTATTTATTTAGCTAGTTTTACTATTTATATATATATTTTTTTTTTAAGTGAAAGTGACATGACGTGACATGTGGCCAAGTATGGTGACCCATACTTGGAATTAGTGCTCTGCATTTATCCCATCCAAAGTGCGCACACACACAGCAGTGAACACACACACACCGTGAACACACACCCGGAGCAGTGGGCAGCCATTTATGCTGCGGCGCCCGGGGAGCAGTTGGGGGTTCGGTGCCTTGCTCAAGGGCACCTCAGTCATGGTATTGAAGGTGGGAGAGAGCGCTGTACATTCACTCCCCCCACCTACAATCCCTGCCGGTACGAGACTCGAACCCGCAACCTTTGGGTTACGAGTCCGACTCTCTAACCATTAGGCCACGACTTCCCCCGTCGTGGGGGGAAACTATATATTAAATAAATATATAGTTATTTATTTAAAATTGCCGAGTGCACCTTTAAGATTTATTTAAGGTTTATTTCCAAAAGCTGTCACTGGGGAAGAACCCATCCAAAATACCTTAGGGTATATTCACACCTGTCTTGTTTGGTTTCGTTTTCCCCTTTGGTGTGGATCTTTTGGGCAGGTGTGAATACAGCAATCGCACTTGGGTGCGCAGCAAACAACTGTACCGAGACTCAGCTGAAGAGGCGGTCTTGGTCCGCTTCCAAACGAACTCTGGTACGGTTGAATGGATGAACCAATGAATGGATGACCTTAAAGGGATAGTTCACCCAAAAATGAAAATTTGATGTTTATCTGCTTACCCCCAGGGCATCCGCAAGTGAACTAGCGGACTTTCCTGGTGTGAATACACCCTTATTTACCTCTAAATGGAGCATATTACTACCTAAAGTGTACATATTAGTACCTTTTGAACAGTTTCTGCTCCAGTAACAGCTGTGTCTTTTTTTTCTGACAGTGCATAAATGGTATAAAGTATAGGAGTCCAAATGCAACAAATCCTTGCAAAAGTGCTTCTGCACACCTACACAACCTGTAGAGAATCAGGCGTTTCTGTGCTATTGGATGTGTTCTGACACTCAGAGCACGCGCCACGTCTATAGGAACAAAGTGATCCCATCGTACTTGTGTATCAGTAAGAGAAAGACCGTATAAATCCATTTCATAAACTCCTCACAGCAACTAAATAGCAGCAAACAGAAGCACCACTCAAAGAAATGAACTGCGCTGCTTGCTTTCTCTGTCTTGATGTTCTCCCTCTCAAATACACACATCCATTTATAGCTACTGTACCTCTTGTGATTCAGTTCTCTGAGCGAACCAATAGAGATTTTTCAATTCCTTTTACGTTTGGACATGCAAATGGAAAATCTTTAGGCTGACCTTTCACAAATCACAGCTCTAGTAAATCACCTAACTGGAAAAATGGCCTCATGTACAGTCTAGAAATAGTTCACACAGACCTTGAACAGCAGTTCAAAAGAAGCATTACACTCCAATAATGCTCTGATTCAAACACCGCATAAGATTTATACATCTCAGTTTCTAAAACCTGCATGGAAATGGTAATTAGCTGAATATCTTTGACAGTTAAAGTGTGAACTGATGGACTTATCAAATTCTTTCAAACTCTCACTGAAAAGGGAGAGACTGTGGCTAGTTGTCACACTTTTTACTCCAGTGAATATTTTTCAGGTTTATTTCTGAAAATCAATTTTTGTACAGACACATATCTTTAAGTCTTTCTACAAAATAACCTAATGAATATTTATATCCTTAGAAAAAAAGGTACCATTCACTGAATCGCACTCAACTCGAATGTTTTTTTTTTTAATGAAATTAATTTTGTTGTTTTTTTCCCAGCATACCAATCAAACTTGACAGTAAAGACATTTAAAATGTTACAGATGATCTTTATTTCAAATGCTATTCTTCTGAACCTTCTACTCAAAGAAACCTGAAAAAATGTGCATTACGATTTCCTCAAAAATATTAAGCAGCACAAGCCTGTTTCCAACTTTTCCGACTTTTTTCTTGCAATTCTGAGTTTACATCTTACAATTCTTACTTTGTTTCTCACAATTCTGAGATACAAAGTTGGAAGGAGATACAAGCTCAGAATTGCATGATAAAAAACTCATAATCCTGAGAAAAAATATAAACTCAGAATTTTGTCTTTTTTGTGCAGAATTCTGAGTTTATTTCTCACAATCCAAAATTGTGCGTTAAATGGAAAACAGTTGTTTTAAACTGTAATAATATTCACAATATTACTGTTTTTACTGTATTTTTTATTAAAAAATGCGGCCTTGGTACTAAAAAAAAAACTACTGTATTTTTAAATGTAAAGAGTAAAACAATGATGAAACAAAACAATCAATGAAACAGCAAATACAGAAAAGATAACATTGTGACAACTAGCCCCGGTAAACATTCAAACCCCCTCAGTTGAAATCTCTGTAGAGACACTGTATATATATAATTCTTCACCATACTGAAGAAGATACAACTGTTTAATGAAGGAAAGAACACATCTTTCTGGTGTTCAATGACTCATTCTCTCTGTCAGGTGACTCACATTGACACGCCCACTGAAGGCGTTACCACAGCGACCAGAGCATCTCACAGGAAATCTCAGTGTGTGCGTCTAAGTTTATCTGTGTTATATAAAGCGCTACATGGCTCGGTGGGAAAATTAGGTCCTGTTCTCTTATATGGCATCCCTGCGGCTATAGAGAAAGACACTTATTCAGCATAAGTGCACATTACACAACACATTAGCATTTTAAACACACTCTTTCCATGAGCTTCATGAATACGTTGATTATGATGTGTGCCATTACATGCGCCTCACTGTTTCCTTGGTGATTCATGTGCATGATGAATTAATTTAATCAAGAAATATCAGCCGTGGACATTCAGTATCCGGGCTCCGGGCCAGACCGCAGGGCTCCAGACCCGTGAGGGACGGACACCAAACTCCTGCCGGTGCGCTGCTTAACATGGATTTGAACACAGCAAGCCCTGCTGCTCAGAGGAAATGTCCTCATTTTTCAATTTTCCTTCATCAAATGGGGTTATCATAGGACCGTGCTTTGAATGTGAAGCCAACCAGCACGAATATGCATTTATTATTAAATATCATGCCTACAGTACTTGATTCTGATTGGTTAACTGCAGCATTCTGCAGTCAGATAGTTTTGCATAATGGCTGCTAAACAGTATATTTGACAGTTTTTTCCCCTGTGCTGTGCTAGTTTCATATCACTCTACAGTCTTTTTCTTCTCACATAAATAATTATAACTCAGATAATTATTTCATAAACATTTGAATTTTTACACTGCATTTTGTCAGTCACTTTGTTCTCTTTT